ACTTATTTTTACCAAAAGTACAAGTGTTTCTAACTTGCACTTAAAAATTTACAAGCTATAGGGAAAATTACGACTCGTTAATAAATATAAACAAATAAAGTATCACGAAGGGTGTACATCAAAAATGATGAACCCTTTCCTAGCATTTTAAATACTGATTGTGTCGACCGCGACGGATCTGCTTATCCTCTTCCACGTTTATTAGCAATTTGCACAATTTCTCGGTTTATTTCATGCGTTTAGCAACGTACTTACTGTTCTCTCTTTGTTCAGTACATTATAAACGCGTTGTACTCTTGTTACATACGGAAATCTCGACCCAAGCCTAACTTTTGCCAGCCCTTGGTATAAAAATTTAAAATTAAACAAAATTTTAAGGTGCTTGTTTTTCGTGCCACTGAGTGCGGTATTATGGTAGTTTTTGAAATAGGGATTTAAAAAAATACGGAGGTGATAAATATGTAATATTCCATTTGAAAATAATTCCAATTGTAAAAATATATTAAATCATCCTGTATATCTATATGAATATTCCTAACATTACCCACATAAGACAATCGATTGATTCTTTCTCTATGATATATTTGGAAGTAAGATTTTGTATATACATAATAATGGTCGTATTCTTTACTTTCTTTAAGGTTTGGCTTATAGTACTTAGTCTTTAGCCTGTTATTTATTTTCGATCATACGGTATTAATTGCCACAAAAAAAGAGATGGTTCCGAAAATTAAACATTACCAACATCATTACAACTCGACAAAACAAACTTCTCATCGACATCAACCTCGACACAAGACTTTCTTAAAGGTGTCCTTAAGAATTTTCTGCCCTAGGTTCGTGGTCGGCCTCGACAAGCCCCGCCAGGTCGCCCTCGCCCACCAACGGCGGCGGGGGCGGCAGCGGCTTCCACCGGTACAACTCCCGGTACGGCCCGCTGCGGTCGTCGAGGAGGGGCGCCGCCTACGGAACCACCAGTCTGTGCCAAAGGTCAAGGTCGCCCAGCCCTACGCACCCCGTCTCGCACCACCAGGGACCTCCGTTTATAGGTAGGGTTGGTTTTTTTTATTTTATTTAGTATTGCCTGCAATGTTTGAATAAAAAAATTCAGGAAGGAGCATATAAAAAGTTGTGTGTACACTATGTGCGCTAGGGTGGTTCTTTATACGGATGTATTCGAATTTCTTTGCTCCCAGAGACTTAAATGCTTCCAAATTCATAATAAAATTGCCTGAAAATTTTAGCTCTTAATACACTCAGATGCAAAAAAACGCAACGGAGAAATTTTTTGGTCAAATTTAAAGTGTAATGTTTTTGTTATTTTTAGCCCTTTTTTCATGAATTTTTAGCAAACTGTATATAATTTTATCAACTTTAATTCGTAAAGTAAGTTTTTTATAAACTTGGGTATTTGGTATATTATACTGGGTAAATCAAAGGGTTGTTTTTGTAACTTAACTTTAAAACACAATGTGCCATAAATTTGTTTGTAAATTTTACTAATATATAATTTTACGGTCAGAACCATGACTCTTGAGCATTTTGTTCTTTGATTCATGTCAATACATGCTTTGGTTAATTTTTAAGAGTGAAATGAACTGATCACCATCAATTTGCAATTTTTCCAATTATCGACGCTCGGCCTCGGTGGCAACGCACTTCGCTCCAGCCGTCACGCTCCTAGAATCGTAGTTCCGTCTGTCGCGAACAGAAGTAACTGGTCCCTGCTGTAACTGATTTTTGACGCTCGACCTCGGCGGCGACGTACTTCGTTCCAGCAGTCGCTGGAGCGCTTCTAGGTTTCCGGTTTTGCCTGTCGCGATTTGGTCGGTTGCTATTGGCGTTGGTGCTCTCGTCGTTCTACGTTGCTCCCGTCATTCTACGTTACTTTCAAAATAGCGATTTTTGGTATGTACTGGGCATGGTATAAAATAACGTTGTTTAAAAGATGAAACATAAAAGCAAATTAAATAAAATAAAAATATTTTATTTGCTTTTATACATTTATATAAGTTTATATTGACAAAAGCCAGTATCTCGGACGATTTTATAGAGGGTAATTCTCCATCTCCAATATCAGTTGTTTCTATGTTTATGGCACGAATGGTTGTAACAGCTAGTAGAATTGTAAGAACCTGACAACACTGGTTGGGAGTAGGTAGGTACTAATGCCAGAAATACTGCATAAGCGTGACACTCTGGAAGTCGGAATCTCGGTTAGAAAATCACGGTATTTTGTCTCGGTATTTTTCTGGAACGGTAGCTACTGTACAGCGACTCATGTGGAACCGGTATTCCCATCACTAATAAGTAAATAGGTACTGCAAGAAATTTGTTTTCCATTTTATATATTGGCTAGCCAGAAAAAAAGCCTTTTTACTATCGATAGTTGCGCCTCGGTGGTACGAAAGTACTACCGTATGATCGAATAAAATCGGCGTAACCGACGGCTATGAAATGACAATCCATGACATTTTCCATATAAATTTACATATAAAATGACAGCGATCTTCATTTCATAGCAATCGCTGACGCCGTTTTCATTCGATCATACGGTACCATTGCACGCAGGCCGCTATCTCGCCGTGCGGAACTTAATATCTTACCGCTATACTCTGTTTTTTTTCTCAGGTAAGATTTCGACAGACGATGACAGAAGAAAAGCAGATGACGTCCCATACCAATCTATTTATTTTACTAAAAAAAGTTTCTAATAATCTTTAGGTTAACTATGGATGGGTTTAAATATAAATTCGTCATGCGTCGTCACTTGTTGTTTTTAACCAGTTTTATTGGTTTGTTTCAAAAATGACAGATCGTATTTCAATTTTATTGGTTTGACGGAACGATGAACGACAAACGGACGCCGATGCGTATGAACTCGCCTTTAGATTTTTGACGTTTCTAAAAGTCTTGCCAAATTATAGGTTATAATTTTGTGACAACTTTTGTCAAATACCCTGCGTTTTGGAAGATGATGCATTTTGATTCGTATTATTACGAGTGTTTTGTGTCTTTTGAAGTCAAGTGGAGGAAAAATAGAGTGAAAATTAACTGTAGAACCCAGAGCACAGTTTATGGTTAATACTCGCTGCCCAGGGAGAAAGTCTTATACAGATACACCAATAAAGCTACTATCAATAAAGTTCGTGTACCATCTCGTCGTAGATAAGTGCATCTCGAATATGGTAGAAGAACCATACTAAACACATACTAAAAACTGGAGTAGCTGTAAAATATCGACATCACCCGATAGGTAAATAATGGATTTTAGTACTGCAGAAAAATAATGTCAAAAGGTACTGGTTTAAAAAATTAAGATTAAAGTTAATAATTAATCAACCTGTGAGGTATAAAATTTGGTAAGTGTTATTATTAATAAAATAGTTTGTTTTATTTATGTTGTTTTATTTATTCCTGCGGAATATTACAAATTTGTATTTGTACATAAGTTATATTGACAAATATAATCATAAATGCGGGAAGTTTCATAAAGCTTGAAAGTAAGAAATAGTTCTTTTTTATATTTTTTGGTATGTGGTGTCTTGTTTTTGTTTGTTTTGTATTAACACATACCGTTTTTTATTAAATAAAATAACTCGATTACATTTTTTCAGTTTTATACAGTTTTTTTCACAATATCTGACAATATTTTGAAGTTACTTGTCAGTCCTGCTATGCGTTCCAGTTTTACCAACTTATTTCTTTGTAAAATAAAATAAACTATTTTGAAATTAAAATGACAGACACATCTATCACTGTCAAGGATCTTCTCGTTGGACAGACTATAATTTCCGACAAAATTATGACGAACACAATGTGGAATTAAATTTCTATATCAGCAGTTCAAGGCAAGAATCTTATACAATTTATTATATACCTATACTGCAAGAAATTTGTTTTCCATTTTATAAACTTGATACTGTACCAACCTTGATGTGTACTAATCCCTCTGGTTGAGTGCTAGAAAGTAAATTTTCATGCATATTTTCATTGGAGGACACCCTGTCACATTTATTTCAAACCAATAATCCACGCGAATATTCGTATAATTTAATAACATTACTGTAAATCTTTATAAATAATGAATAATAAACAAAACATTGAAACAAAAACAGACCACAGTAATAATTGTAATAATTATCGTTTTTTAATAAAAATTAAAAAAACATTATAAAATTAGAAAATTAGAATAGTACAGAATTTTATATTAACAGTAATTTTTTCGAAGTTTATAAAAAGCATTTATAAAAAATATATATTCTTCAAATACTTCAATTTAATAGCTCTTAGTAAGAAGTTACACTTCAAATATGCGCACATAGTGTACACAAAATTTTTTGGTTAATCAAATAGAATTTAATTTTAGTATTCTTTAAAACCAACAATTTAAGAAAAATAAATAATGTCTCTATTTCAATAAGCATATTCAAAATAAACGCATGGACCGATAAACTAAAAAAATATTTTGTAAAATTTAAAAATACCTATGTCAATTTAAAGTATTTTGCAGTTTTTAAAAAATATTCCTGTTGCATGGTTAAATAATAAATTTTCAATTTTAGTTTTTTTATTTATTTCAGTGTTAATAAGTTAAATGTAAATATACTGTAAAATTAATTGAATATTTGTTTGAATTGATTAGTCAGACACTAAATTCACTATCGCATGTCTATACTATCCGATCTGAATTTAAGTGTGTTGTGTGTAATATATAATTATTGTATATGTAGGTATTACCGTAGTATATTTAAGTTCCTCTTCGCTTGAAGTCTAGTTAATAACAAGACTAATATTTACAAATTTGTGGTTTGTATTATGTAAAATAATACATAAACCAATAACGTATTTCTAAATAATTTTACTGAAACCCAAAATACACTATGGTATTACAAACATGAAGTAATTAGAAATCGCACTCCTAATTCACTTTCCCTCCCCTAAGTGTGCACCGCCCAAAATATTAACCGCACAAGCCCGCCTTCTCGTATTACAGCCGGTGCTGTGGTAGGTATCCCGATGCAACAGAGCGCCGCTCACAAGGGCTCGATGCAGCACAGCCACCCGCTCTTGGGCGGTAGGCGGGGTCAAGGTCGAAGGCTACCGCCCACACCCTGCAAACCGTCCACGCTCCAGTTGAAGCCGGGGACGATCAATTTTCCGAAATTGAACGCCAGTCCGACGCATGTGAGTATAACTTTCATGTAATATCTATGAGTTTATGGAGAGTTCAGTATTGCAATATTGAATCCCTCATGAAATAAAAAAAAATTTGCCCTAATTACAAAGCAATGATCACAAGTACCTATTAGACACCATAAAAGAATACAATATTTCAAACTTGGCTCCACATTTGTATATTTGTTATACAATTTTAAAATGCCAAGAATTTAATTTGCTATACTTCCTTAAAGTTGGATTTATAAACTCGGGAGTTAAGGTTCAGTTGCCGTTCAAAATGTTCAACGCTATGAAATGAACGCGCGCATTTATAAAGTCAGTTGGTCGAAAAGTTAGCAGTTCGTTTTACGTTCAGCGGAGTTCAAAGATGGTCAATGTTTATGTCGGCAGTTGCGGGCAGTTGGCGACCGCTGGCGACGTTCGGCGACAGCCAATGAATAAGCGCCTGTCGATCACGTGAAGCACAGTACGCCGATGCATTGGAAAATGACCCTTATTGTTGTTTCATTATTTCGTTGTTTCATTCTCTATGTAATGTTTATATTTTGCGTAATCGTGGATTACTGTGTTTGAACTTTGACAAATACCAGAAGTATTTTTAAATCGAAAGAAAAACGTTCGAAATTTTCACAATTCCAAACCTAACCTACAACCGAAACTGACAGTTTATAAATGCAAAAATATTGAACCTCAACTGCCGCGAACATCCAACTGCAACTGAACGCCAACTTCCGGGTTTATAAATCCAGCTTAATTGTTTAATTGTGTTTCATAATGTACCTGGTTACGAACAACGTTTCTTTAATTGGTACTCTACTACCACTAACTATATACCCTGACAATAAATTCGAGATAAAATTAATTTTAGTCAATTTAACAACTTTTTGATAACATCAGTTTGACTCAACGGTGTAAAATAAGATCTTCTTAATCAATTTCGTAATTTTACACAATTTCTCAGTGGGTTGTCATAATTTGTCTGGTTACGAGAAACGTTTGCTTAACTACTACTACGCTACCACTAACTACACTCCCTGATAGATTCCAAAAAAAGAATTATAATCTGGTTACCAACTTTTTGATCAAGTCAGTTTGATACAAGATAGTGAAATAAAATATCTTCTTAATCTATTTCCAAATGCTACACAATAAACCCAACCCAACTTATATGGAATCATCTATTATTTTTCATAGTGTATAAATATTTTGTGTTTATGAATAAAACTCAGTCCTTACCAAAACTTTTAATAAAAAATAATCCAATAAAAATAAACACAATGGTATTTTTTTGGTTTCTGAAACGAAATGAGATTTAATTTATTGGTCAAAAAGCAAAAACAAAAAGTAAATTGATAATTTAAATTAATCCGTGTTGTCACCTCTGGCCTTTATACAAGCTTCTATCCGCGCTGGCAGGCTCCTTATTAAATTATGAACGTTGTCTTGGGGTATGTTTTCCCATTCTGCTAATGTTGTTTCAATAAGCTGTGCGAGATTTCCGGGATTGTTTCGACGAGCTCTAACACTTGTTTTAATCTGGTACCACTGGAAGTATTTGATAGAGTTTAGTTTTGGTGAACATGAAGGCCAGTCCAAAACTATGACAAAATTTCAAAACATTCTCTAGCCACTCTGCTGGTATAGGGAGGTGCATTATCGTGAATGAAGTTAAAATTATTCCTAATTGCATCTCTCCAAAGCCTATCTATTGGTTCTAGCACTAAATCAACATATCTCCGTTAAAGTTTGTTGAAGTGGTAACCATGGAGTGTTTGCTCCCAGCATAATACCTTCCCAAAACATTACAGTTCCTCCTTTATATCTTGGTCCAGATTTGGCAGCCTGGAGTATCGCTCGTCTTCCTGGAGCTCTGAGAACCCGAATTCGATGGTCATCTGATCTTAAGCCAATTCTGATCTCATCCGAAAAAAGAACATTTTGCCAATTCCCAATTGTCCAGTTCTTATGTTGAAGGCACTAAAAATCTAAATTAGTGATTTAGCTGGTCAATTTTATTTTACCGATATAACTGTGGGGCCCGTAACTCTCTCCTACTGTACAACCCTCGGGTACGAAGCCTTTTTCTTATGGTTTCAACTGAAAAGTCCACTCTAGCTGCCAGAAATGATCTTTGTAGCTCTGGATGAGGGACATTAGGATTTCTTCTAGCAATTTGGCACACAAAGTTGTTTTGCAGTTTAGTTGTGACTCTTTGACGACTTTGTCTGGGTCTGTTCTTGATAGTGCCTAGTTCCAAGTTGCACATGTTTTCGATACAACACCTTGGGTAATACTTACTCTGCTACGTATTATTTGGGCATTCCTTGTCCAATGAGAGCAATAATCCTTCTCCCTGTACATCTGTTAATCCAAAATAAGACATTTTTTGGATCGTATAAAAATTACCGGGCAGTAATTATTTTACTACTGAACACAAAATTTACAAGAAAATAAATCCCAGCAGTCGTTTATTTTTTATGACAATAAAGAAGACAATGTTTATTTACAACAAAAATCCTTATCTCAAAGTTTAGTAAAAAATATAGTGATTCCATATAAGTTTAGTTGTTTGTATTTTGACTGGGTACTGTGATAATTGTTTGTCATAATTTGTATGGATATAAAACACGTTTGTTTAACTTCTACTATATTATTCCTAACTACACACCCTGGCAACAAATTCCAGATAAAATTAATTGTAGTCAGTTTAACAACATTTCGATAACATCAGTTTGACTCAAAAAGTAAAATAAAATATTGTCCTAATTGTTTGTCATAATTTGTCTGGACATGAAAGGCGTTTATTTAACTACCGATACACTACCACAACAACACTACCTTCCAGATAAAATTAATTTTATTCAGTTTAATAACTTTTCTATAATGTCAGTTTAACTCAAAAAAGTGAAATAAAATATCCGTTTAATCTATCTTAAAATTTTTAAAACAATTTTTTTGTCGGGTCCTTTCCTAATTGTTCTTAAAAATTTGTCTGTATGTGATACGCATTGGTTTAACTACTAGTACTCTACCACTAAGTACACTCTCTGGTAACAACTTAAAGATAAAGTTAATGTTAGTCAGTTTTACAACTTCTTGATAACGTCACTTTTTGATATTCCACACAATGTTTTGGTCAGCTATTTTTCTATTTTTTTATAACTTGTCTTGAAACACGTTTGTTTAATTACTCCCACACTACAGTCAGTTTAAAAACTTTTAGACAACTTCTTCCGTTTGACACAATTAAATGAACTAAATTATTTTCTTAATTCATATAATAATTTTGCACAATGTTCTGGCTAGGTTCTTCCCTAGTTATTTTTTATAACTTGTCTAGATATACTTTTCTTTAACTACTACTACACTCTTACTAACTACACACCCTGACAATAAATTACACATAAAGAGAATTTTAGTGTCAGTTTTTGATACAACAACTTTTTCATACCGTCAGCGTCAGTTTGACTCAAGAAAATATTAATAAAAATAAAATATTTTCTTAGTCCATTCCTTTGCAGTTATTAAGATAAAATAAGTATATAAAATGCAAAAAAAAAAAATATGTCATATATTGTTTAACTCTCTCCATACTCTCTCTTTCACTTGACAAACCAGATGAAAGAGATTGGTGACCTCATTAGGGCAATTCGTAAATTCCTGCATATTATTTTAGTAATTGTTGCCATTTGATTTGGAGATATAGTTTCATCGATGGACATCGATCGATTTCAATATTTCCTTTTAATAATTGACATTGTCATTTGATTTGGAGTTATAATTTTACTGACGGACGGATCGATGTCAAAATTAAAATTTGATTGTTGCTGCATTTTTTTTATTGCAAAAATGGCTCAAAGATTTAAAAAATAAACAACAGCTCATTGGTGTAATATTCCTATGTAAAATACAAACTGCTTGCGTTTCAAAATAATATAGCTCCTAGTTTATAATGCTTTAGAAATTGGAATTTGAACAGTCCAAAGGATTGGAATTAAAAGAATCGTAAATGATGAAGAGTTCAGGAAAAAATTAATAAATGCCGAAAAAAAGAAACTCGTCTAATCAATAATATAGAACGTACTTAAAATTTTCTAAACAATATGAAACTAATCTCAGACACCCTAAATTTCATATTTGACAAATAGCATGACGCAACGATGAACGATGGATATCCAAATATATCTTAGCCTTTACCAACTTTATAACCGAAATATTTTTTCCAATTAGATGCAGTCCCATTCGGCCCACGCCACGCCCCACTCCTACCCTCACAGTTTTCCCAGGGATAGGGAACCGCTGAGGGATTTCGTCGCGCCCCCCGTAGCCGCGCCCCTCTCCGGCCCGGCCAATCCGATGTCCGGTCACAACAGGGGCGGAGCTACCATAGGAGATAACGCGCAGGCGCCGCTCAGCTTCGAGCAAGCCGTGCAGTTGGGAAGAGGGGGCAGGATGCTGCCCAGTCCGGTGCCTAACGGGTACAAACCCAAACCGTCAAGGTTGGTTTTTTCTTTGATGCTGTAGCTTGAAAATATGATTTATTGTTATTGAAATCTCAGACGCGTACTAATACAAGCTTCGGTTACAAAATACTACTACACTCAGATGCAAAAAAAAGCAACGGAAATTTTTGTCAAGTTTTAAAATATCATATTGTTTTTTATTTTTAGCCTTATTTTCATGAATTTTTGGGGGCAAAGACATAAATCTACCAACTTTAATACATAAACTTGTTTTTTTTTTATAAAGTCTTAGTATTTGGCTTATTATACAGGGTTAATTGAAGGGTTGTTTGCTTTAACTTTAAAACACACTGTGCAACTTTCCGTAAATTTTCCTCAAAACATTATTTTCTTCTTTTCGATCAAAACCATATGTCTCCTAAGCATTTTATTTTTTTGACTCATGTCAACAAATGCCTTTATTTCAAGAGCGAAATATAAACTTGCCACCAACGATTTGCAATTTTTTCAACTATCAATAATTTATGATGTTAATTTTTAATACATCTAGGTGGCTTTGGTGATTATTGTCGTAATATCATATCGACACTGATTAGAACTCTATATTAAAATATAAAAAATGTTAAAAAATAACGATACAGGCTTGGTTTCAATAAATTACAGTAACACTAACAGAACAAACTAAAGATATTAAAAAATAACTGTAGTTACTAAATACAAACAACATACAAACAAACAAAAATCTTTTAAAATATACTCTAATATTTTGTATTACCTCCCTCGGCTGCTATAACTGTTGGTAGGCGTCGGTTCATACTGTTAATGAGGCTTCAAATATAGTGTGTTATATTCTCCCATTCTTCTTGAAAGACCAAGCGAATATTCATAATTTCGGCGATCTTCAACAAGATCAATGACTTTTGCACAATCTACGGCACTAAGAACCATATTCAATCGTACACAACAATAATCATCAAAGCCGCCTCGTTATTATGAAGAATAACATCAAAAAGTAACGATAATTGAAAAAATTGCAAAATGTTTGTGACAAGTTCATTTTGCTTTTAAAAATTAACCAAGACATGAGTCAAAATTAAAATATTTAGGAGACATGGTTCTGACAGAAAAATAATTAGGAAACTTTTAGGAAAATTTGCTTATGAAGTTATTGCACAGAGTGTTTTAAAGATAGGGTAAAACAACTCTTCTATTAACCCGGTATAATAAATCAACTACTAAAGTTTTTAATAAACTGAGTTTACGAATTAAAGTTGATATATTTATGTACAGTTTACTAAAAAACTGTAGTTTCGATACTTTGAGTCTTTTTTCAAAGTTTTTTGAGTCTTTGAATCAAAGTTTCGATACTTTGAGTCTTTTTGGTATTTTTTCTGTATTTGTATCCTTTTTATTTCCGTAAGCACGGTAATATCAAAGATTAAGAAATTATACCGTGGGAAAATTTGCGGTAAAGAGGCAGTTTTCTAAAATATATAGAAAAATTTATAGGAAAATGCACGATTCTCACCATCTTTTTGTGCCAAAGAACTAATAGACGTATTTCTGGAGTCGAAATATACCACCTTTAAAATATTTCCACTTATTTAAGATTTACCCTGTATAGAAATAAAGAATTCAAAAAGGTGTTTTATTCCTAATTTTACCAAATACTACCAAATCATTATAAAGGTAAACGAGAGTTGCTTAAATGCAAAACTGCAGAACAAAATCCAAACAATTAAAGTACGGTTATGTTCTCATATCTGACAGAATATCAAATAAATTATGGAAACTTTTCAGGCACAAAACGGGTACCAAATCTGTAAATGCAGCCACATTCTTTCTTAAAAGTTTCCTGTTTTTATGAGCGAAACCAAAAGTTTTATGTAGCGAAACCATATTTTAGAAACGTTTGAAACAAAAAGCGATTTATGTTACGAAACATAATATATATCAAAAATGTGACGAAACTCTTTCACAATGTTTCTAGCAGAAATTTTGTTTCGATTTTGTGTCTAAAAATGCTACGGTATTATATAAGCTCAGTAGTTTAGGATTTAGATAATTTACAATTGACAAAGGCCAGTAAAACATCTCACCAAAACGTTGTGTCAGTTGTAAATAAGCACAATGAAAGGCCACATTCAAAGAAATAAGGTGAGCTATTTTATTCATAATTCAGTCAGATATGAATCACATTTCATATAACAACTTTGTAAGGGTTTGTTGTGCTGTTTTTTATATTCTGTTAATTACTTTAAAACAACAAACATTTTATAAAATTATTTGTTAAACGTCAATTTGTTTCAGGTCTCGTCATTCCGATTCCGACGACGACGACTGGTGCTAGCAGAAACTGAATACTCTGTAAAAGAGTAAAAACCGTGCGCGATCGTCTTCTGTTATTCTTATTTAGTGTGCGTGACGTAGCAGTGTATAAACCTTAAACAAAATCTTCAAACTAGTTCAAAATATGTCTCGATTTTTAATGGTTACCGCCATACAACAGCTTGGCTTCCGAGATAAACTACTACAATTTTACTCTATTCAACTTACTTAAAGGCAAAGGCACTAGTTTATCTTGAACTACCGGGTACGTTGTATGATTAAACGCGGATTGTTGTAAATTTCAAGAACGGTGAAAAATTGCGACACCTATTTTGGCCAATAAGGAATTGATTATCTACGCCTTATAAGTGAAAAATGCCAGCTCTGCAGACCGAACAAGACTCTGCTTTTTAATGCTCAAGAAAAGGCAAATTGGCATCTCATTTTGTAGAGCACTGTATATGTTTATTATGGTCAAAAATGAATTTGCAATGAATAAGAAACAAAGCAGAAATATTTATTATATTACGTATTGCTCGTTTAGTTGATCCAGGTTTTGCATATATCATGACTGGTAGTACATTAGTCGAATGTCTCTCTTTTTATAAATAAGTGGCATTTCTAGATTTGAATATGATTGAGTCTCTTCAATAAGTACTCTAAAGCTAACTTAATTATTCCGTTAATTTCTGTAGTAGAGATCCTGACAGCATTAGTTGCCTCAAATAGTATAACATAATAATTCTCATACTATTTCCAGTCAGGGCCGGCGGATGGGAAATATTTAGACCGGGCGAATACCCTACATGGCGCCCCACCCCCCAACATGTAGTTAACATGTTACCATAACAACTAAGCATATTTATGCTAATTTAACAATGAAGTTTCACTTAAAGGTACTTTAAAATTCTTCTCTTCGTTCAATCTTGGTCCGCGGTTGTTGTTTTTTTCTATTTTTTTTTTTTTTTTGGTATTTTATTTAACACCTTATAAATTTTTTATTTTTTAGATTTTTGATATGTTAGTATATGACATAAATTGTTAGATTGATTGACGTATTCAATTGTTTTTGGCCACTTTCGTTTAGTTTATCTGATAGAAAATAACACTTGAGTAGAATGATATATCATATGTCAATCTGAGTCGAAATTGACATATAATATAATATAAAAACATATTTTAAATTTCTTTCAATCTAAAGTGCCATGGCTGTGTTAAAACGACTAATTTTTAAACAAAGAGCCTTGGAAAAAAAATATATTAAAAAAAAAAAAAAAAAATCGTATTTTTAATCATATGTCATTTTTTCAAATGTAACAAGGGTGGCTCATTTGCATATTTGAAAAGCATTCTTTACGAATAATTTTGTACCAATACACTTGATATTTCGAGTCAAACTGTCGTTATGAATTTTATGTAACAATTTCAAATTATAAATGCGAAAATGTCAAAAGTTAACATGATATGTCATTTTATTCAGTGTCATTTTCTATCGCATAGAGTAATATACTGAGGTTGCAATTTAAAAACTAAAAAATTTTTTTTTTTTTTTTTCAAACAGGAAGTGACCAAAAAACAATTGAATATGTCAATTAATCCTAATTTATGTCGTATACAACTTACCAAATCTCTGTTTTTTCTTCTGAAAAATAAACAAGTTATATGAGCCAGTTTCGAGATCATCAACCCGGTGCTATAAATGATAAATATAAGTATCTTGGAAAACATTATTATTTAGTTGCAAGCAATTGCATTATTTTTCTATAAGAAATTTAAGAAATTTCTTTTTCTTTTCTACCATCAATTATTTGTGTGCAGAATCAGTATATGGTCAGATACAGTTTTGTCGGCTTCAAAATGAGGATCAGCCAGTGCTTGAGATGCATTCCTTTGTCTTGCTCTAATGAGAAATTTCTACGATTCTGCTACCATTTACCGTGTCAATACATATCCAATCCAGAACAATCAAAATCACCAGAAGATTGATATTTTTTCCACTACTGCAATAAATATAAATTAATGAGGCAAACTTTTTTTTATAATAAGGATTTCGAGATCCTATTTAGCTTCTTGCGAATGAATATTTGTCCCATATAATTTTAGGGCAGATCAGCTATTAATAACAAATAAAGAGTGTGAGTAGTAGACAAAGTGCAATTTTGAGCGGTCAGTCTAAAACTGTCAATTTTGTTGGCTCTTGACCCAAAACAGTTTGTTTAGAGAAAATTTATAAAAGTAAGAATTATAGAAAGAAGGTTATTTATAAAAAGTTGATAGCTTTTCAGTTATAAGTATAATACCACGAACAATTTTTTTTTAAATATTTTAGGTGCTGGCGTGGCGCCCCTCGTATTCGGCGCCCCGGGCGGTCGCCCGGGTCGCCCGTTCCTTCCGCCGGCCCTGTTTCAGTGTTGTGTTATTTACTAGAATATATTTTCAGTCTTCCAGTTCGTTGTGCCATTACTTTAGTTTTTAAGTAAATACATTTGAGACCTATTTTATTGCTGGCGGTATTTAGTTCGTTAATTTGTGTGCTTGTAGTTCTTCTGGACAATTGGCAATTATAAAGTAATCAACGAATCTTAGATTGTAAAGATATTCTCCGTCTATACTGAATCCTTTGTTGGTCCAGTCGAGTTAACGGAAGATTTCTTCTTGATGCTGCTGTAAACAGCTTTGAAGATATTATGTCTCCTTGTCGTACTCATTTGCCAGTTGGAAACCCTGGGGTTGTTTAATATATAATTACTCTTGCTTTAGCTTCCTTGGTATATGTGTATATTAAGGAGTTTCTATATAAGGCTTTGCAATACCTTGTTTCGCTATTACTGCCTTAGAATATATCGAGTCGAAAGTCTTCAAAAAGTCTATAAAGGCTATGAATAGTGGAAGTTTGTATTCTTTTGTTCGGCAGTTTCTCTTAGTGTCTGTATGTGATCAATCGCGCTGAAGCCGCTTCTAAAGCCTGATTCTTTTAGCGTCTTTTTTATTCTGTTATTTATTATTTTTGTGAATATTTTTATGTTACTAGTAGTATGCTTATTGGTCTAGTACTTCCGATGTCTTCTTTGCTGCCTTTCTAATGAATTAGAATTATGTTGGCGCTATTTGTTTATATGTTTGCGCTATCTCTAACACAGTATTTCCAACTATTCTTCCAATCATTATTGATCGTTCCATATAAATAACATTATTTTCAATTAGAATAAAAGATTCAAATTTCGAATATTGTTTGAATTCAAAATTTTAATTGTATAATGTTGACCAATTAAATGCACAGAATGCAATCAGTACGACATCTTGTGTGTTTTCAGGTATACTGGGCTGGACCAATCCTTGGAGGTGTACTTGCAGGACTCATCTACAGGTTTATTTTCAAAGTTCAAAAAGGAGAAAGCGACTCATACGACTTTTAACGATTTTTAAGATGCTTTTCTTACACTATTAGTAAGCTCTATAAGCAGAAGCTTGACAATATCATTATTTTTATTGATTTGTTATATAAAGTTGTTTGTTTTTTATAACTATAATTACGAGAAAAAATCCCACGCTCTATGATTTTCTGATATTCATATGTCTTAAGTATACAACATTTTCTAAAAGAAATTTTTTTTTTTTTTTTTTTTAATTAACATTTTGAGCATTATTTATTGTAATTATCGACGCGTGATGTTTCACTCCATTTTTATCTTCTTTATTAGCTATAAGTGCTTTATTTTTAAGTGTTTATAGTTTTAATATTAGGTACTTATAAATGTATAAGTTAAGCATAATGAGTGTAAAAACTTAACATTGATGAAATTATAAATTTTTGTACTTAATTACGACAGAAATTAATGAAGATCCGAAGGAGCGAAAAATGATGTCATTAAAATTTTCTTGGATTTAGAATCTTTAAATTATTGTACGAGTATTACAAGAGTATAAAATATCAGTATTAGTAAATATAATATTTTTTGAACATATGTGTATTATTTTACGTTAAAGATGTATCATATAATGTAAACATTATTAAGCAGGATTATTAGTGCTCGATCCTCATATTAACTTGCTTAACCCTCATATTAACCATACGATCAAAAGACTTTGTCAGCGCCGTTGAGCATGACAATGAAGATAATTTTGGCGAGGTCAAGCTCTAGTCGTCACTTACTTCATATACTCTTTATTTTTTTAATGCCTAACATCTACGTTATTTTTTTTAAAATAAAAACAAAATTAATATTGAACAGTGGTCACCGTTAAAAGCAAATTACTATTTTATTTTAAATAGAACACCCAGTATATTATTCCGATATTCAATGGGAAATTCATGCCTCTTAAAAATTTATTAAAGTTTCCTATCCCTAAAACAATGATCTTTATGATTTGATAAAATCTTAGGCATGCTGATGTCTGACGTTACTTCAACTTAGCTGTCAAAATAGTTCAACTTTAACAACTAGTTATCATTTTGTGTTGGTTAAAACAAAAAAAAATTCTCAGAAATTTGCTTCGATAATGGAAATTTATCCTACATCAGAGAGAATTGATATGATTCTATCAGTTGGTGGTCAGTGTGCATTCACCACCAATTGGTAAATGCATTATCGTAAGAATTGCTATTCTAGCAAGAATACTTAAATTCTCCTGATTTATCTATTTGGAATTTTTATGGGGATATGTTAAAAGACAGTGTTTACAAAACACGACCAACTATTGTCATGAGAGTCAACATGAGAGAAATGATTGTTTAATTCTGTAAAATTAAAATGTTATACTATTGGCTACATTATTCTTAACAATTAAAAACATCTTTTATTACCGATAAGTATTTTACTCTACATCGTTTAATTTTGATAAATGAACAAAAGTCATATCACAGCCACCCTTACATTTTATCAAATAATAAAGATCTAATGACGCAAAATCATGTACAAAATATATAGGGAAAATCTTGTTTGAAGGGTAGGCAACTTAATAGTATTTGAAGATATCAAGTCCCATTGCTGCCAAAAGTCACTAACTTTACTTTTTATTACTTCCGAGAAAATGCGTCTAAAGATGAATTGGATTGCATAAAGATGTTATAGTTAGTAACTATTTTACAATAAATAACAGCCATGTGAAATCGTAGTTAATGACTTTTGCTATCGATTCTCCGCTTCAAAACACATAGTTAGTGGATTTCTCGAATTTTGGTTGTTCGAAAAATGTTAGTGACTTTGGCAGCAATAGGACGATATATAAATTCTCCATTGCATGATTCTTGGAATCGGAATGAATATATCGGGTGTTCCATTTAAAATAAAGCGAGTACTTTAACTTGCTTTTTAAAAGTGAATCGATGTCTTACAATAATTTTTTCTGACACTGCATAACCTCGGACTGTGCCCTTAGTTTGGTTTAATATACAATGGTCATTGTAATTAAATATCAGGCTACAGGGTAAACTAAAATTTA